GGAGAGGAGGGGGAGGGGGAGGGAGAGGAGAGCTATAAGGAGGAGGGGGAAGAGAAGGAGGAGAGGAAGTTCGAGGGGGAGGGGAAGGGAGTATAGAAGAGGGGAAGAAAAGGAAGGAGAAGGAGGAAGAAGAGGAGAGAAAGAAGGATGAGAAAAAGAAGGGAGAAGAGGAGGAGGAAGACAAGAATGTGAGGAGGGTGAAGATGAGAAGAGTGGAGGTAGGAGGAATATGGGCAGGTCTAGTCAGTCTTTCTAAGCTGACAGGTCTCTATGGTCCTAACCAGCCCAGTTCTCCTCCATCATGGTCCTCCCTGAGGCTCTTGGTGTCCATGCCCCAAGTGCTGGGTCTCCTCTCAACGACCTTTCCTCTGGGGAGGCCTCCAGAGCCCCTTCAACGATCTGCGCACCGAGTCTCTCTGCCCCTTATATTTTTGTGTGGGATTATTTCGTAATTTCTGTCCTCCCCTACCAGACTCTAGAGCTGTCCGATGAAAGCCACAAATGTGAGACACATGAATTTTAATGTGCTAGTTACATTAACTTTTCCACTATACATTTTAAAAGCTTACAGGTGAAATTAATTTCAGTAATATATCATATTTAACTCAAAACGCCCAGAATGTCTCAATAGGTAATCCATTGTAGACATATTTATGAGCTATTTTGAATATTATTCTCACTCTAAGTCTGAAATTTGACACTCACAGCATGTCTCCGTTCAGACCAGCCACACTTCAAGTGCCCATTGCCCCTGTGGCTGGTGGTGGCCTCTAGAAAGTGCGGGTCTAGAACCTCAGGCCTTCATCTCCCTCGTGTCCCTGACACTCAACACATCCTCAGGAAATATGTGTACACAAATGAGTGAACTGGAAGTCCCTGAAGAACTGAACGTACATAGAAAAATGTGACTAAAAATACTGAAATTGAAGGTCATTTTAATTCACCTCTTTATGATTTCTTATATTTTTCAAATTTCCTAGTGACTATATACCTTTTTTTTTAAGTAGAAAAAATAATAATAGCTACTTTTAAAAGTAACCCACCAAGAACACGTGGCCCAGGCTGAGATAACACAGCCATGCTCTCACCATTTTCCAGGCGATCGAAACACAGAGAAGGAGGACGGCAATGAGATGGTGCACGAGGTGGAGGTGATTATAAAACACAACAAGTTTGACAATAAGACCTTTAACTGTGACATCGCTGTCCTCAAACTGAAGACGCCCATCAAATTCCGCATGAACGTGGCCCCTGCTTGCCTGCCAGAGAAGGACTGGGCCGAGTCCACGCTCATGACTCAGAAATCGGGCATCGTGAGCGGCTTCGGGCGCATCCACGAGATGGGCCGCACGTCCGTCACCCTCAAGATGCTGGAGGTGCCCTACGTGGACAGGAACACATGCAAGCTGTCCACCGGCTTCAGCATCACCCCAAACATGTTCTGCGCCGGCTATGACTCAAAGCTCGAGGATGCCTGTCAGGGGGACAGCGGGGGTCCCCATGTCACCCGGTTCAAGGACACCTACTTTATCACGGGCATCATCAGCTGGGGAGAAGGATGTGCACGGAAAGGAAAGTTCGGGATCTACACCAAAGTCACCAACTTCCTCAAGTGGATCGAGAGGTCCATGAAAAAAACCAAGACCAGGCCCCAGGGTGAGCCGGAGGTCACTGCCACTCCCCTGTCATTAGATTAATGCCCCCCCCAAAGCCCCTGGCAGTCCTTGGTGTCTCATTGTGTCTTAACACGTGCCACTCTGAACAGGCTGAATCCTGGAATAAGTTTCCTCTCTGCTGCGATTGTGTTGGTTCCTCAGCCTGACCTTGCCCTTGCTCGAGTGAGGTGGGAAGTGAAATTGTCATTCGGAACACTGGGCCTGCCTTTCCCTAGCCTGGTTGGAAGCTTCCTCCTGGAAATGTTATGCTTTACAGAACAGCGGTTCACACTCTCCCGATGACACTTCCACTCAAAACCGTGGGGGGCCCTTTCCATTCATAGCACGTTTTTTCTGTTTCTGATTGTCCTAAACTACCCTCTGGGCAGGCCACACTCGGGACCCTTGAGAATAAATGACCAAGGTTCTGGGAGCAGAGACAAGGCCCAGCAAGGGTGGCCGCACCCCAGGGTCAGGGTGGGTTCTCCCCCAGGTCCAGCGTAGCCTCCCAGGCCTGTGGTTCACCTGGGACAGAGACAAGGGTGGGAGTGTGTCCCCCAGGGGCTTCCTGTGAAAGGCAGACTCCCTGGGAAGGGGAGGCCCAGAGACCTGCTCACTGGCGGGGCATTTTAACATTGACTTAACCACTGGCTCTTCTTTCTGGCTTCATGCTAGAATCACCTGGGGTACTTATATTTTGTTTTTGTGTGTGTTTTTAATCCTCACCTGAGGATGTTTGTTTTTTATTGATTTTTAGAGAGAGACAAAGGTGCACCTGGGGCCCTTTAAAAATGTGCCCATTCCTGTGCCCACCTTGCTGTAGTTGCCTGAGCAACTTACATGTCCACTAGGTACTAACTGCCCCAGATTAGGGGACTCTGCAGTCCTTCATGTAGGCCAGAGCCCAGAGCACTTGAATCAGAGTCTGTGGGGTGAGCTCGAGCCCTAAGTTTCTACAATTCCTCAGGTGACTCCCATGTGTGTGTTGTATGGTGTATGGTGGTCGGGGCTGCGGGAGGGCTCCCCTCTCTTCGACCGCATCATGTTTAAATGCCAAGTCCTTTCCCGTCCAAGTCCTGACCCTCAACTTAGATGGTCATGAAAGTCAAACATGCTTTTAGAAAATGGAAAAGGTCACCTGGGACCAGACCAGTGTGTTCCCAATGTCCCTCTGGAGTTTGCGTTTTGCGTAACTTTGCTAAGCAAACTTTCAAAGTCCCACTACAAAAACATCCCAAAATGTCAGCAGCTTTGTGTGTGTAAACAGGAGATACTGCAAGGTTAGAGTTCACTGTAAACAAGAGACTTGCAAGCGTAGAAAAGTCAATGTGGACAAGTCCACCGTTTCCCAGAAACCGTCTGAGAGCGGGAAAAGCCAAGTGAGGGTGGCGCTTCTCCTCCTGACTCCTCCTCGGAGTGAGCCTCCCCCAGAGGGCTCCCCAGGCCCCTCCTGGAGTCAAGGCCTCCATGGCAGGAGACCACCGCGAGGTCAGGGTGAGGGTTTTCCATGCAGCCAACTGGTCTCCGTCCCAAGGCTCACCCCAGACCTGGGTTCCTGTTTCTGGAGATGAAAGGTTGTTTGGGGTCCAGAGGGAACTCCAGGGGAAATTCACAAATAAAGCCTACCTTTGCTGTTACTACTTGATCTCTCACTGTTGGCCTTTATTATTGGCAGTAGAGTTCATGTATGTATCAGAGAGGAAGGGAAACTGAGGTACAGCAGAGAGAAGGGCAGGAGGAGCCCATAGGTCTGCTTATCTCCCCATCCAGAAGCGGAATTCAAGGCAGTGAGGTTCTAGAGGAAATAAGGGGGAGCGATGCCCTTGGCTGCCGTGGGGAGGGTCCTGGTGGAGGGCTCACGGATGGGGCAATTCCTGTTTGCCCTGGAACAACCTAACTCTATCTCTGAGCAACACTGTCCTCCTGGGAAAACGAACTCATGAAGCCACCTCATGTACGTGTTCACCCTACAAGGGGACACGGCGTGTGTGGGAGGGATACTCCCCTACCTGCTACCACCAGAGCTTCCCGGGGAGGTTACCTAAGGGGCTGCTGGGTGTGGAGGGAGAGGCCCTGCAGCACAGAGATCAGCAGGAAGCCAAGGCTGAGGGACCAGAGACGGGGACAGTAGAGGTTTGATGTTTTTCTCCTGAGAGAGGGGAGAGGTTGCAGCACTGTAACAAAACCACCATCTCACCAGGCACTGCCACACCCCACACACATGCTCAGTTCCTGAGGGTAGAAGAGTGAAGGTGACAACCAGGGACTGCTCGCCCAGAAACAGGGAGGGGGTTCTGGACGGTGACATGAGGTTTGAAGGGACAGGGAGGCCCAGCTGAGCGTGAGTTAGGAGGAAAGGAGAGAGTGTAAGCCAGCTGCATGGGGGATGGGGGGCGGGGGGCCAAGTCAACGGTGCCAGTAGGTTCCCAAGAACACAGGTTCCTGCCCACGGGCAGGGCCTGCTGGCTCCCTGGAGAGTCTGTGGGGCCTGAAGCCCCCTCCCTGCCCACAGGTGTGGGGCACCAGGGCTGAGACCTTCCAGCAGGATGGCGGGGGGGGGGGGGGGGGGGGGGGGTGTTTGCTCTCCATCCCCATTGGCATGGAGGGTCTCAATTTCCATTTTACCAGGACCCTGCTCTACGACCACCACAGCAATCACTGATCAAGCAAGCCCTTGGGACACCAAGACCCTGGCGGACAAATTGCTGAGAAAGAAGATGCTTGGAAGTGACTATTTCATTGCAAGCAGGACAGGGTAGCTTTATAACAGCGAGATCTGCTGGGCACGTAGCCAGGTGTGCCTGACATCAGGTGGGCCCGACACAGCACCGTGGGAAGGACACACACGCGTCTCTCTGCAGGGCTCACCCCGAGTCACTGAGGGGTCAGTCGGGCACATCCAGCTGGCGAGGGCCTGGACACCCCGAAAATGTCAGCATGCAGGGATCTGCAGTAATTGAGACTTGGGAGGACAGGAACAGGCTGCGGAGAGAGAAGAATGGCCACAGGAGCTCCTCAACAGATGCCCCTTAACAGCAGGGTTCCCCTGTATGTGGGGGTGCAGGGAGAGGAGGGAAGGAGAGAGAGATAAGACAGATACAGAGACAGACAGAGAGTTAGGGAAACAGACAGAGTGAGCATCCGCTGGGGGGTCCATCCCTTGTGCTGACGCACTTGGTGAGCGTGTGACCAGGAAATAGTAGAGGGTGGGGTGTGAGTGGGTTGTCCCCACGGGGTGTTAAATCACCCCATGGTGCGGGGTGATTCTCGGTTCAAAGACACACTTGCTTCTTACCAAATGTCCCCGGGTCCACTCTTCCACGTGGCACGTGCGCCCCGGGAGACCTGGCTCGGCTGGTCTCCTCCTGTGGTGGACTCTAGCCCTTCACAGAAACGCTGCTGACCCTGCCCCCACCCCCACCCCCACCCCCACAGCTGCCCGCTCTATGCACTCAGGTGCTCTGCTGCCCTCCTGTGGGCGCCTTCCCACTCTGACCTCCTTGCTGGGCGCCAGGCAGCAGCGTCCCTACCTCCAGTCCTGAGTGTCTTTCTCAGTCACACACACCCTCGTGCCCCGCCCTGTAAGGCTCATGAGGCTCCCTGTGTTCAGATTCCTCTCCCAAAGGGAGCCTCTGTGGCTGGCTTGTCTGAAATAGCCCCCCTATGGCTCTGTACCCGCTGATCTGCCCGTCTCCTGGTAGCGAAATGTGACCTTATTTCTCCCTCCCTCTCTCCCCCTCCCCCCACACTAGAACGTGGGCTCCAGGCCCAGGCCCAGGACACTTGGTTGTGCACGTGTGCAAGGATGGCCCGGCTTTCCCCAGGGCTATCACCCCATCTCCTGGGACAGGGCCTCCTGACTTCACCCCCAAGGAGTCTATCCAGCTGGCACCTAAACTCCTCACCAAGGCCCTCTTTGCTTTGGCTTTTCCTGTCTCTGCCTTTTTTCCCCCTCTTTGCCTTAAACAGAAAAGTATAAAACTGAAGCATGCATTTAAAGCATTGAATGCTCTCACTCATTTATGGATAATAAAGACCATTATAAACTGATGAACAAAAATAGATACAGAGGCAGAGCAACATCGAACAGACTGTCAAACTACAGCGGGAAGGCCGGGGAGGGTTGGGGGGGTGGGTAAGAGATCAACCGAAGGACTTGTATGCATGCATATAAGCATAACCAATGGACACAAGACACTGGGGGATATGGGAGGCCAGGGGAAGGTCAAGGGGAGAAAAAAAAAAAGCAGACATATATAATACTCTTTGTAATACTTTAAGCAATAAAACAATTAAAAAAAATAAAATGTTGAATGAATCCAATAAAATTCCAGGCAAAATGTCCTCTTAGCAGAAGACACTTCTTTTCCCGTTTTCTGCCCCTGTCCCCTGCTTGGCTCCACGTTTTAGGGCTGGTGGTCGTTTAAGCAAGCAGCTTCCCTGTGTTGTGAGAGGCCTGGGCGGACTTTGGCCCCTGTGTTTGCAGACCTGTCCCTGGGCCACCATCAGAATGGCGGGCTGCCTCCGGCTGTTCCTGCTCCTCCTGGGCCTCCACAGCGCCGAGCCCTCAGGTGGGTGTCGCCCTCCTAACTGTGTCCTCCAGGACCGTGTGGGTTTGGTCCGGAGGCTTTTTCTAAGACAGAGGAGCCCCTGGGTGGCCAGCGGGTCTTCACTCAGCTCCCAAAAGAGCTTCCTGATCTCTTTATAATTCATGACAAATATGTTGGAAATGATGGGATCCCTTGGGGTCCTCCCAGAAGAGATGGCCCGAAAGAATCGAGAGGTTGGACCTGGTCTGATGGGGACAGGAGAGGAGGCAGCCAAGGCCTCAGGTAGTGGCAGCGCCATGTACTCTGACTCCCAGGAGCGGGCATGGCAATCCCTGGGGAAGTCCATCACTGCTGACGGCATCTCCATTCTTCTCTTGCTCCATAGTATTTCTTTCTGCCTCCAAAGCAAGTGACATTCTGGTAAGATGGAAGCGTGCTGGCTCCTATCTTTTGGAAGAGATCTTTGAGGGAAATTTGGAAAAAGAATGTTATGAAGAAATTTGTGTCCATGAAGAAGCAAGAGAAGTATTTGAAGTTGATGAGACCACTGTATGTACCCTCACCATGAACTCACACACTTTCTGATTATTCCAATTTCTGCTGCCCGAGAGGGCATAATTTCTCAAAAAGACGAAGCTAAATTAATGACCTGTTTACTTACCTGTGAGGCTGACTTAATCCTAATTTTACTGATGAGGAAACAGAGACAGAGAAGTGAAATAATTTTCCCATCTAGTACGTAGGATACTAACTCAGTTCCACACCCCTAAACGCCTTCTTCTGATTAAGCACATTACCACATTGATTAGCTTACTCATCACAAACATCAGTCAGCTTGTCATGACGCTGACAGAATTTGACATTTTTAATAGAGACCTAATTGCTTCAATATATCAACAGATTTTTAAGGAACAAAAAGCCTCTCTAGAGTGTCTACATAGTAAAAATATCTCTCATAATCTATAATTTGGATTAAAACTGACTATATGTATACTCTAAATGACAGAGGCAAACAATTCTTGCTTATTCATAAGTTTATCAGAAGATAGAGAAGCCAGTCAAATCTGACAGGTCTAATACGTAAAATATTTAATAAAGATCTCCTAGTTTTACATATAACAGTAGCAATATTTAAAGTTATTCTGAATAAAATATTGACCTGTTTCCCTAGTATATTTTTAAGATCATTGTTTCTTGCATGCTTAGCTATGTCCTCTTAATTTGATATCATTCATGTTGTTACAAGCCCAAGTATGATTGGAAGGTGACAACCACTTGTTTACACTCTAGGCTTTAGTTCCTAGGAATTATTCTAATTTTAGATACTCTAATTTTATATATGAGAGAACTCTTCTGAAATAGACCATCTTTTATAAAACTAGAAGAAATTAAAACTTCCTGGTTAAAGGAAAATTGTGGGGTTTTCTTATTTTTCAATTACAGTTGACATTCAATATTACTTTATATTATTTTCAGATGAACAGCCTAATGGTTAGACACTTATATAATTTAGGACGTGTTCCCCCAATAAATCTAGTACCCATCTAACACCCTACATAATTATTGCAATGTTATTAATATTATTGACTATATTCCCTATGCTGTACTTTACATCCTCATGACTACTCTGAAACTACCAATTTGTACAACCTTTTTAAAAAATTCTCATTCAAGGATATGTTTTTATTGATTTGAGAGAGAGAGGAAGGGATTGAGAGAGAGAGACGTGAGAAAGAATATTGATTGGTTGCCTCCTGTACATACCTCAACTGGGGATCGAACCCTCAACCTTTTGATGTATGGGATGACACTCCAACCAACTGAGCCACTCAGCCAGTGTTATCCATTTGTACTTCTTAATCATTTCACCTTTTTCTCCCATCCCTCTAACCCCATTCCCACCTGGCAACTGTCAGCCTGTTCTCTGCATCTATGAGTCTGTTTCTGTTTTCTTTGTTCATTTATCTTGTTCTTTAGATTCTACATATAAGTGAAACCATATGGTATTTGTCTTTCTCTGTCTGGCCTATCACTTAGGATACTACCCTCTAGGTCCATCCGGAAAATTGCCCTCTTAATTTGACATCATTCAGGTTGTTACAAGTCCAAGTATGATTGGGAGATGGCAACCACTTGTTTACGTTCTAGGCTTTAATTTCGAGTAATTATCCTAATTTTAGATACCCCCCACCCAAACTAACCTTACACATACACATACCCACTTTTGATTGTTGTTTCGTTGGCTTATAAAAAAGTGGTGTTAGTGCCTTGTATCCACATCATGCACTCTGTAGAATAGGACATGAGTGAACACTGTGCCCCTGGAGGAGGGGAAGGTGACCTTGGGAGGCCATGGTCATGGTGTTTGTGCCACGTCACAGACTATTATTTCTCCTTCCTTAAATAGGTTACAGAAAATACACGTGAAATAGGAAATGTTCCATGTGAATATTAAGTAGACAATTTTTGCATTCTCTGTTTCAACCAGTATTTTTCTATTAAGTGGATAAAATCAACACTTGTTATCTTTAAGTCAATCGATGGGAGAAAATATTGTAAAAAATCATCTATTTGCAACCCTTTTATATTTTAATTTTACAGGATGAATTTTGGCAACGTTATATGGGTAAGTGGCCTCAACTCTTGCAGGGATTATTTCCTCTTCTTTTTCCTTAAGATGAGGTAAGGCTTTCCACGTTTCACACGTAGGCACCTGGACACTCCCTGAGGACAAGGACGAGGAGAAGGGTAGGAAAGTTCCCAAAGTCCTGGGGAGTCAGGGAGACGCTCCCTTGGGGGCTCGGGTGGCAGAGGCCAGAGGGTCCCCATCCTGAGCCACTCCTCTCATTCCTGGGGCCTCACAGGCTCCCTGGGGCCTCTTGCTGAAGGGTCAGAACCTGGTTAATTTGAGGAAAGTGACAGCTCATCCTAGCCTTGGGGGGATGCTGGGTGTCCCTTTAGCAGGAGCCCCCAGAAGACCACAGTGACTGAGGGCCACAGGGATGGGCGAGGGGAATTAGAAGAGCTGGGGCAGCCAGCCACAGTCACCGGTCACCATGGTCGCTCAGCAAAGAAAGAAGGAGGTGAAGGAGGGGGACTTAGACAAACCTCATGGGCACACGTGGCTGGTGGGACCCCAGGGGACACATGAGGAGCACCTGGCAGCCTAATCCAGGGGACATCAGGAGGAACTAGATGATTCCACCTGCACAAGGTTCTCACATCCCTCTTGGCAGGTGGCTCCCCATGCGTCTCCCAGCCCTGCCTCAACAACGGGTCCTGCCAGGACAACATCCGCAGCTACACCTGCACTTGCTCCTCGGGCTACGAGGGCAAGGACTGCGCCTTCGGTGAGTCCCCAGCCACCCTGACCCACCCCAACCGTACAGAGATGGGCTCCCAGGAGTGAGCAAAGGGTGCCTGTGGGAACCTAGTTCCAATCCGGTTCTCCACTGGAAACCATTCTGTGTATGGCCCTCCTGCCTTCCAAACACGCCTCCCTACAGTTTCCACGGCTTAGAGTCCCCTCCCTGTCCTCCCAAACCCAGCCCCGCTTAACCCATTTACAATCTACTCTCCAGAATTCCTGGAACCCGACCCACCCCAAGCAGGGTGATGGGATCTGAGGGTCCCTCTGTAAGGGGGAATCACACACAGGCTGGCTCAGAGGTAGGCATGGGTGTGAGATTTATAGCTTCATGAACTAATATTCTTTGCGGGAGTGGGAAGAAATTAATTTCCTATCAATAATTATCCGATATGGAAATAAATTCACTTAATCCTTTCAATGCCTCTGGTCAATACAGAGTCAGTTTTCTGGGGGAAAATATGATTCCCAGCCCAGATCTCTCCACTGAAGTCCATCTCTCTCCTCTAACTGCCACCTTGAGAGCCCCACGTAATGTTTCGCAGACATCCCAAACCTAACACATGCCAAAGCAAGGTTTTGATCCTCATCCCAGCTGCTCAGCCATCCACATGGGGTCCCACTAGAACCCTCCCAACCCACATCCCCACCTGTAGCGGGAAGTGAAAGTTGTGAAAATGGGCAGAGGCCTTGCAATATGTACACATATATCCATGACCAAGTTACATTTTCTGAGGACAAATACAAGGGCTGTCACTCACTGAACCTTTGCTTTCATCATGCACATTCCTGAAGACAGAAGTGTGGGAAGTGCTTCTATGGGGAACCAAAAATCTGAAAAGAATGAGAACATTTGGACTGAAAAGCCAGAGCCCCAAGGCACAAGGAAATTTAAAAAACAACTATTTCCATGTTAGCACTTCTGGTTTTTTCCTTGTCAGCTAAAAATGAATGTCACCCTTTGAGGACTGATGGGTGTCAACACTTTTGCCACCCGGGACAGGACTCCTACATTTGCAGCTGTGCACAGGGGTATAAACTGGGCCAAGACTACAAATCGTGCATCCCACATGGTGAGTTCTCAATCCAGTGAGAAAAGGTGGTCTCTCCCTTTCCTACCCTGTCGGCTCCCATACACACCCCCACTCCTCCTACAATAACATTTGAAAAGCCACCTCTTGTCTATGAGATGAGGAGTCACTCTGACGCGGCCAGCCCTCCCCTCCTCCACGCTGAAGCTTGCCTGGGTCCTAGCAGTATCTTAGCTAACCTACAAACACAGAGCACGTGATTTAACTTCACCTGTGGCTCCATGCTAATGATATGCTAAGGCCACTCAACCACTCGCTATAACGTGCACTGGTCAGACACTCCAACCGGTAGGTTAGCTTGCTGCTGGGGTCCTATCGGGACTGAGCAAGACAGGCCAGACACACCCTGCAGCCATCCCAAGGTGCCTCCCCCGCTGGCCAACCTCCCGCATCCCTCTGCAGCCCCAACCGTGGGTGGGTGGGAGTAATCAACCAAAGACCATCCTATATAATAAAAGGCTAATATGCAGATCGACCAAATGGCAGAACAACTGGACGCTATGACGCGCACTGACCATCAGGGGGCAGATGATCAACACAGGAGCTGCCCACTGGTGGTCAGTGCACTCCCACAGGGGCAGCACCGCTCAGCCAGAAGCCCGGCTCACAGCTGGCAAGTGCAGTTGCAGTGGCAGAAGCCTCTCCCACCTCCACAGCAGCGCTAAGGATGTCTGACTGACAGCTTAGGTCCACTCCTGAGGGACCCCCCAGAGTGCATGAATTTCGTGTACTGGGCCTCTAGTCTCAAAATGATGGGCATGAAGAAGCCAGATTCAAGTAGTTAGCACCATTTGAGTAGATAAAACCTGATGTTTGACTTGGAAGGCACTGATCTTTCTTATGTTGTCACCACAAATGAAGACAAGTGTGCATGTGGAATCCTGAATTCTGAGTGCATCAGGGCAACACAGAGGAGCAGGCGGAATCTTCAGATTTTCCCATGGCAGGTAACAGAAACATTTTATAAACATGTTTTCACTTTTAGTTACAGGTTTCATCCTCTTTGTCATTTCCATGGTCTTTGCCAACCAAATAGAAACATAATGACTAAGTGAAAGAGGCATTTTTGATCTAAGTGAACCATTAACCAATCTCAAAGTCCTACTTCAGAGCACTTTCTAATGCCGAATTCACAACTTTAGTGGTCTTCATTCTTTCACCAAATAAAAACATAGTTTTATTTATAGCCACCCTAGGCCCAATGTCATTTCTCTCAGACCATAGGTATCCTGGAGTCGCACTTGGGTGGGTGAGGTGACATGGGCCTGGCGAGTGACCACAGGAAAGGCAGGTGGCCAGAGTTAAGGACACAGGCTCTCCACTCCCCAGCCTCCTAGCTGGAACTCCAGCTCCACTATTGTGTGGAGGAAATTTCTCTTCTTTGGCATTCATTTTTGTTATTTTCTGATTTCCCCCCTTGACTGGTTTGGAAGTTAAATATTCTATTTATATTTAACTAGAGGCCTGATGCATGAAATTCATGCAAGAGTAGGCCTTCCTTCCCCTGGCTGCCAGCACCGGCTTCCCTCTAGCACCTGGGACCCGGGCTTTTCTTGCAGCCCTAGCTTTGTCCGGAAGGTCGTCTGGAAGGACGTCTGGTCTAATTTGCTTATTATACTTTTATTATTATAGATGGCCACTCTTGACATTTAAAGATTCATTTATAACGTGCCAATATATAAAGTTAGTATTTTCATCCCCCCGCCAAGTTATTTCAAGCACCTCACAATAGCCATCTGCTATTTTAACCAGCATTTCATTCTTTTCTTGCTTTTTCAGTAATTCCATAAAATAAGTATTACTTTTATTATTATTGCTTATACCACCAATGTAGATTTTAATTTACATATGTTGCCATTTTTCTTGCCTCTAATAAAGATCATCTCTTTTATTTGTACACCTTTTTTGTTTAATGTACACCTTTTTTACTTGTGGGTTTTTGTTGTTGTTAATCCTCATCAGAGGATATTTTTTCCATTGATTTTCAGAGAGAGTGGAAGGGAGTAAGGAGAGAGGGAGAGAGAGAAACATCAGTGTGAGAGAGGAACATCAATGTGAGAGAGACACATCGATTGGTTGCCTCCTACAGGCACCCCAGCCAGGATCTGGCCTGCAACCTAGGTACATGTCCTTGACCAGGAATTGAACCTGAGACTCTTCAGTCCATGGGCCAACACTCTAACCACTGAGTTACACCAGCCAGGCCCTGAAGTACACCCTTTAGAATAGCCCTGTCGATAGAAATATAATGTGAGCTGCATATGTAACTGAAATTTCCTAGTCACACTAATGAAAGTAAAGCAGATCAAATGAATTTGGATAATGAATTTTATTTACCAGTACTCCAATATGTCTAAATACTATTATTTCAACATGTAACAAATATAAAAAGTTGAGATATTTACATCTTTTCTTCATTACTAATCTTTGACATCTGGGGTGTGTTTTACACTTGGAGAACATTCAGTTTGGACCAGTCACCTGTCAAATGCTCAGTAACCACATGTGACTGCAACGTTGGACAGCCTAGCGTTAGCAGTTTCTTTACAGGGTCTGTGAGTAATGCGCCTCGGTGTGTGTGTGTCCAACACTTTAAGCCGGCTGAGCCAGCAGAATCACTGGCTGCTAGGAGGAGCCCTACGCAGACAACTGAAGAGAGCTCAGTGACCACTGCAATGACCCGGATTTGAAAGGAGACTGAGTGAAGGGAGATAAAATGATGGAAAGGGACAAAACCAGAATGGTCCAGTTATCAGCTGGTGAACTTGATCTTCTGTTGCCTTTTCTCCTTGTTCTCTCTCTCTTTTTAAATTAAATTTATTGAGGTGACATTGGTTAATAGGATCATATTCCTTAAGCTTTCTAAGACCCCCTTATTCATACTTGCACTCTTAGCATCTTCATCAATGTACTAAGGCAGACCTCAGAACATGGGGAGTGGGGACTGGTGGATGGATGACAGTGGTGTTCTATTTTCTGCCAAGCGCACCGCCTTCAGTCTCCCAGCCCACTCAAGGGGACCTTAGTGGCCATTTTCATCTATAGAAGTAGTGTTAGTACCAACAAGACCAGGAGCTATTACCTGTGAGGTAAGCATTCTCTACATACATATCAAACACATTTGCAGACACACTTATATAGGCAAGCTAAATACTATTAGATTTTTACTCTGGTATAATAAATAGTTCTGAAATTATTTAACTGAATTAACTGGCCTTCGATATAGAGTTGAAAATTATCATTACAACTTGTTTCTTCCATTCTAGGTAAGAAATTGACAATATGTTCCACTGCATTTTACTACAAGTCTAGCACACTGATGCTGAAAATGCCGTCTTCCCTCAAACTTGGTGTTACACACCTATAAAATATAGTAATACAAGAATTGTAGTGAGGGTTAAAGAAAATGCACCTGACTTATGTAGGTAGTTAATACATGGTAACTATTATTAATAAACACTTAAGATTTCCAGAAATGAGGCTACATTAAATTTGAAAAACATTTATACTTTGCTTAGCATTTTTCATTTTATTAAGCCACTAAAAATTATAAGCAACATTTCTTGAGCCAGCACCTATGCTATGAGGGTACATTTTTTTTCTTTTGTTTAATCCACAAAATAATCTCACATTTCATCTCGTAATAGTGTTTGTTCTGAAATCTCCCTGGTCTGGTATTGACACTATTGATTAGTGTTATACCCCCCCCCCCCCGATCTTTTAAATTATATTTACAGTATGTTTTATAGGCAGTATATAGTTGGCTTTTAATTTTACACAATCTGACAAACCCCTGCCTTTTTAATGGGATATTTAGACCATTTTCTACTTATCTAGGTAGGCTTAAATTCATAATTTTGCTATTTGTTTTGTATTTTTCCCATCTGTTCTTTCCTCTTTTCTTTTTTCTGCCTTCTATTGAATTACTTGATTTTTTTATTGTTTTACCTTCTTTGTTGGATAATTTATTAGAATTGTTTTTGCTTAGTGGCTGCTTTAGGCTACACTATACACCTTTGCTTTGTCCATCCACTGTACCTTCAGCTGACACTCCCTCAATGGCTATCTTTGGAGCTCATATTCTTTTTTTTCTTTTCAAATATATTTTTATTGATTTCAGAGAGGAAGGGAGAAAGAGTTAGACACATCAATGATGAAGAGAATCATTGTCTGCCTCTTGCATGCCCTCGACTGGGGATCGAGCCCACCACCAGGGCATGTGCCCTTGACTGGAATCGAACCCGGGACCCTTGAGTCCACAGGCCAATGAGCCAAACTGGCTAGGGCTGGAACCCATATTCTTAACCATCAGACTATACTGCCCCTAATCCTGCTAATTTTCACCACTAGCTATTGTCTGTCTTGTTTTTTTGTCTTTTTTTTTTTTTAAGGTAAAACTAATAGATTCCGAAGGAAAAGACTTCTGTGGTGGTGTTATAATAGAGGAAAATTTTGTGCTGACAACAGCAAAATGTTCACTGTTACACAGAAATATCAGTGTGAAAACCAGTAAGTATTTTAGCACTCATTTTTATAAGACCATGTTGGAAATAAACAGTATCCTATGTAGAATGAAAATTTAAAAACTAGAGTTTTGTTTTTAATGCAATATAGAACTGAATTTAGCTTCAATACTACTGAGCTACTTATAAAGTGAGAAAGCATATGTAAAATACCTGGTGGAATATCTAGGCATAGCAAGCAGACAAATGCTAATATTCAGTCTGAGGAAGTTACGGCTGATAAAAATATAATTTGATACTGAAATGGAGAGGCTGTGTTGTTGGCAGATAATTGACTGAAAGTCAGAAGATCTGGGTTCAGACTCCCCTGTCACCCAAGGCCACGGCTGTGACGTGGAGCTCACCACCTAACTTGTCTGTGCCTCGGTCCTCATCAGTGAAAACTGGGCAGTAACTTCTGTCCTGTAGGGAGGTCGCAAAGGTTCAGTGATAATCTGGGAAAGTGCTCTATTATGATTCTGAAGAACCTTATTATATTTCACTCCTCGTCCTTGAATATTTTTCAGTCAACGAAATGTCAACCTGAAAAACTACTTCTGACCGGCCCAGTTTTGATTAGCTTGAAGAAGTTCCCCTAGTTTATTTTACCACTTCACCAAAATAACTCATTTTGATTTTTTTTAAATCTTCCATTTTTTTATTTTATTATTATTTTTTATTCTATTGACTTTTTACAGAGAGGGAGAAGGATAGAGAGTTAGAAACATCCATCAGAAACATCGATCAGCTGCCTCCTGCACACCTCCTACTGGGGATGTGCCTGCAACCAAGGCACATGCCCTTGACCGGAATCGAACCTGGGACCCTTCAGTCTGCAAGCTGACGCTCCATCCACTGAGCCAAACCGGTCAGGGCTCATTTTGATTTTTTAAAGGAGGAGTATGAGGAATTAGTTGGAATACTTCGTTCCATAGATGAAGAAAGATCAGGACAATTAGCCACGGCATGCTTTATCGTGCCCAGCCTCTGCCTTGTCACAGGGTTCACTGAGAAATTAGTTTCATATTATTGTAACCTGAAAACCAGGCTTTAGGTTACAAAAGCCAGTGATTGTCCATTATTTCAGATTTTCCTAGAACGAGCAAGGACCCACTGACGATCGAGGTGAAGCGCATCCATGTGCACATGATGTACGAGGAGGAGACGGGGGACAATGACATTTCGCTCTTGGAGCTGGAGCTGCCCATCCAGTGCCCAGACATGGGGCTCCCCGTCTGTATGCCCGAGCAGGACTTTGCGGAGCGCATCCTCATCCCGGGGACACAGGGCCTCCTCATTGGCTGGACATCCAACGGCTCTGAGCTGGGCAATGTGCCGATGCAGCTGCCCGTCATGCACATGGACAGCGAGGAGTGTGGCAGAGCCCTGAATGTGACAGTCACGACGAGGACGTACTGCGAGAGGGGAGCGGCAGCTGGAGGGGTGCAGTGGGCGGAAGGGAGCATGGTCGCCAGAAAACACAAAGGCACCTGGTTCCTGACAGGGATTCTGTGCTCAGTGCCCACAGCAGAGTATGGACAGGAGTTTCTTCTCACCAAGGTTTCAAGATACTCACTCTGGTTTAGACAAATCATGAAGTGACTAAACCCAGCTAAGCCTCAAGAATAAAAGATGTGGTGGGATTACACACCTTAACTGCAAGCATGGAGTTAAATTAAAATATCACAGCAAAACAGCTGTGACTGCCTCAGGACAACCAACTCGGTCTACAAACCATTAGTAACTGCTTATGACAGCGATTTTCAACCAGTATGCTGCAACAATTTTTAAAACATGCAACACCTGACTATTTTGGTCAGGGGCAAGGACCTCTTTTCCCTTAGACCAGTGGTTCTCAACCTTGGCTGCACATTAGAATCACCTGGGAATCTTTTAAAAATCCTGATTTTTGGGCCTCATCCTCCGGAAATTCTGTTTGTTACTAATGTTGTGGCCCCACCCCATAACAAAGAAACAGAATTTTCAGAGGATGAGGCCCAGAAATCAGGATTTTTAAAAAGATTCCCAGGTGATTCTAATGTGCAGCCAAGGTTGAGAAACACTGCCTTAGACTATCAAATAAAAAAAGGTCAACAGTCAACATAACAATAGCCGTCCATTGTGAATGAATCAATTATTTTTGTCAGATTGGCAAAAAATATATATTTTTTGGTGTACTGCAGAATTTTAGTAATTAGTTTGTGTATGCCATGAGATGAAAAAGGTTGAAAATCGCTGGCTTATGAGTTCATTACTGAGTACTGTGGAAAGTTTTTTGCTTGGGACTTTTTATCTAAACAGATTTTAAGAGAATGGGAGATAAGAGGGACCTCATAGTTGTGCCAGGTTTACCAATTGCCCGTGTGAGTGAAAGGGTTGCTCAGTTTTGGAAGAGCCACTAGAAGAGAGTCACCACAGGGGAAAATATCACAGAGGAATAGGTTATAGTTTTAGAGAAAGAATCAGGAAACATGAGAGGTTAAAAGAAGATGGACAACATGGGGCCTTCAAACAGGGCCTTGTGCTCAGAAAGGCACTTCCTGTGGAGGGAAACCTCCCAGACAGGTTCCAGGGGGCTGCTGGATGAGGGTCGTGCTCAGCCTCTCCACTCTGCTTCTGAACCATCTAGCTGACTCTAAGTGATGTATCCCCTTTGTGCCTCTCTCCTGGGCTCTACCGGTAAATGGAACAATAACAGCATCTACCAACCAGGGCTGAGTTAAAAAGTAGAACAGTGTTCAATCACAGTGATTATCTATTATCATCACAAAGACCGCAGCTTTGACATCACGGGAAAGACAGAACTTGAGTCCAGCCCCAAACTGTGCTTCCCTGCAGATCAGAACTCCAAGAGGGTCCGAATTTGTGCCAAAACGAAAAGTGAAAGCAATGGATAGAAATGATGTTTACTTTTAAGTTAATCTCTTAACTCTTATTTAAGTTAAGGAAGTAGCAAAACTGCTCCTCCACTAAGTACATCTGATTTCCAAGCCCATTTCCTGGAGTGAAATGAAAGAGTTTCCGAGGCTAACTGCTCTGCAGACCAGCAGATGGTGGAGAGGGCAGCTCTAACTCCAGATGCACATGCAGGGTAACAGTGGGCTGCTGAGGGCTCATTATAAAGAGTTGAAGAGCAGCCGAAACCGGTTTGGCTCAGTGGATAGAGCATCGGCCTGCGGACTGAAAGGTTCCAGGTTCGATTCCGGTCAAGGGCATGTACCTGGGTTGCGGGCACATCCCCGGTAGGGGATGTGCAGGAGGCAGCTGACCGATGTTTCTCTCTCATCGATGTTTCTAACTCTCTATCCCTCTCCCTTCCTCTCTGTAAAAAATCAATAAAATATATTTAAAAAAAAAAAAGAGTTGAAGAGCAGAGAGGATATTTTTAAGAAATTAAAAATGTGAGCTGAGAAATCAACTACAATAAAAACAATGAAAAAAATCAAACACTTGAAGGCTAAATAGCATACTATTAAACAATGATTGGATTCTCAAAAAGATCAAAGAAGAAATAAAAAGCATCCTGGCAACAAACAATAATGAAAACACAAACATCTAAAATATATGGGACACAGTGAAAGCAATCTTGAGAGGGAAGTTCATAGTTCTACAGGCCTACCTCAAAAAACAAGAAAAAATGGTAATAAATTATCTAACCCTACAACTCAAAGAATTAGAAAGAGAGCAACAAGAAAAGCCCGGAGTAGGCAGAAGGAAGGAAATAATAAATATCAGAGCAGAAATAAACAACATAGAGAACAACAACAAAAAAAGATCAATAAAACCATGAGCTGGTCCTTTGAAAGGAAAAACAAGATTGATGAACCTCTAGGCAGGCTCACCAAGAAGCAAAGAGAGAGGACCCAAATAAACAAAATAAAAAATGAAAGAGGTGAAGTAACAACCAACCCCACAGAAATACAAAAGATTATGAAAAATTACTATGAACAACTCTATTCCAATAAACTGGACAACCTAGATGAAATGAACATATTCTTAGAAAAATACAAGCTTCCAAAACTCAATCAGGAAGAATAAAAAAATTTTAATAGGCCGATAATAACCGAAGAAATTGAAGCAGTAATCAAAAATCTTCCAGCAAACAAAACCCCTGGTCCGGACGGCTTTACAGGAGAGTTCTAGAAAGCATTCAAAGAACTAAAACCTGCCGAAACCAGTTTGGCTCAGTGGATAGAGCGTCGGCCTGCAGACTGAAAGGTCCCAGGTTCGATTCCGGTCAAGGGCATGTACCTGGGTTGCGGGCACATCCCCGGTGGGAGATGTGCAGGAGGCAGCTGATCGATGTTTCTCTCTCATCGATGTTTCTAACTCTCTATCCCTCTCCCTTCCTCTCGGTAAAAAATCAATAAAATATAT